GATTTAATTATTTCCGTTTTGTTACCAGTAACTACTGTTGGAATATCTCTCCGATTATTTGACGAATGATACTGATAGGTTGTAATCCGTAAGTTGTATTTTATTGTAGACCGAAGTATTCCATCCATGATAAGTTCTTGCTGGTCTTCTTAGTAACTTCCGGTGTGATAAAGAGCAGCAAAATATTACTATCCAAAACGGAAATCGGGAAAGTCAGCATGGAATGCAATAAATGGATTTACATGCGACGGAACCGTTTCCCATTGAACTTACTTTATAATTGTAAGGGCATTCGAATTGAAATAGCATTATTAAGGTCACACTAGCTAGACTTCCTTATATCGAGGATTTTTTAAAAGTGTAAAAGGCACATATTTCAAGATGGCATGAACCATATACTCTACATTTAGTAATGTTAAAATTGTATTTTCGGAATAGACATTTTTATGTTCAAGCTTGTACCCTTTTCAGAACTTCGAGCTATAAATAGCATAAAAACAGTCGTTGTTCGGTTGAAATATGAGTTCAAAATTAATGTTTGAAGGAAACTTCTGATACAATTATGTACACCTGTACTAAAATCCTTGTAAGCCAATATAAGACTTTTGAGCTTGAAACGTTTTTTATTTCGTTCTTTTTTATCCTATATTTCAGACTGAGGTTCAAGAATGTGAATTGACTTCCTGACTCTAAAACTCACTTTCTTTACAATATCAATGATTGTTATACGACATAAAAAAAACATTGTAAAGTTATATGTGGCGGCTATGAAAAGTCGCTCGATATGCAGCTTCAATTTAATTTTTTGCCAGCGAGTCCCTGTTATAGATTCACAAACTGTTCAGTATAAGCTTTAAGTATGTTTACAGAATATACCCGGCGGCTGTCGTAAGTGGACCATTCACAAATACGACTAGTATATCAGCATGAAATACCTGCTATACCTACTTTCATATTTTCTATATTTTTCTTTTAATGTAAATAAATGTCTTCTTAATGTTTATCTTAATTTCTTTATTTTCATTTTCTTCGATAAATATAAAACACAATATTTTGTTTATGTATGAATGTTATCATTAACGACTATTGTTTCATTTCAAGGAGAGAGTTTCTAAAAAAGCTTAGATAGCTCACTACTCAATCCTTTTTGCATTTAATTGTAATAATATTGTGTAAATATATTTGACTGAAATGAAATATTGTTTAAACCAAATACCTGCTGGCGTAATACTATGTAAACATTTGGTTATTTTAAACCGCATTTTGTATTGTCATGTAATACTGCATAACTTGGTTATTTAATGTGTATATTACATTATTGTAGTTACATATAGCGTTGCTTTGTTACGTCTACATTCTATATTCAGATATTTTCTCATCTCTAGAGTATGTTATCGCTATTTTCTGAAAATAATAATGTAAACGGAAATTTTATTATATCATAGTTATACATTAAATATTTTTGGTTTTCCAGTTTATATGACGTTTATGATTGGATTATAGTTACGCTGATAATTGTTGCTATCCATAAAACATTTTCTAAATTGACGTAGTAAATCGGTGTACATGAATTTCTCCAAAAATATGCGAATACCTATAGTGCCGCAATATGAGGCACTGTGGTGTATCATAAGCTAATGATATTGTAGGTAGAAAAACACATTTGTGTCAACTACAATGCCTAGAGCTTAGATATTTGGCATGTTTTGGACCTCTACAAAAGTTATATAAAACATGTCCCTTGGGTCAATATTGGCCCTGCCCCGGGGTCACTTGATTTATAATCACTTTATATAGGAACACATTTAATTAAGTCGTATTTTGTGAAACTACGATATTTGGCATGTAGCATTGGCTTGTGGACTTTTACAAAAGTGATATTGATCATGTTTCTTGGGTCAATATTTGTTCCGCCCCGGGGGTCATGTGATTTATATACACTTGTATAAGAAATACCCTTAAGTTTAATGCTGTAAACCTACAATGCCGAGACTTAAATATTTGGCATTAACATTGTTTTGTGAACCTGACATAGGCATAGGCAATATGGTGAATATGTGCCTCGCCCCTGGGGTCACCTGATTTATAAAGATTTATGTATGCTTAGTTGACATTTACAAAAGTCAAATTAATCATAACCCCTGGGTAAGGATTGACTCCACCCTAATGCCTAATATATAAGCTCTGAGCACTGCAGTTTTCCACAAAAGATTTGATGTGTTTTCTAATATATCAATCAACTTAAGACATGGTGACAGAAATAATTTTTGACAACAGGGTCATGGTTAATATAACTTTTGAAGAAGAATATAAATTCATGCTACATGCCACTATCAAAGCTTTGACCTTTAATAGTTAAGGAGTATATAATTTCAAGATATGTTAATAAGTGTACATAAAATAAATACGAGCTTTTTGGTTAATGAAATATTCTGAACCCAACTTCGTTTTACGCATTATGAGATAACTATTCGACCGATGTTTGCTATTGTCCTATATCACGAATTAATTTGAAAGCTATTATTCAAAATGCCATATTGTGGTTGGAGCAAGACAAGTTTGCTAAAGCTTTAGCAGGTATTTGTTATATACCCTGCTGTGTATGTTGACTAGCTTTGGAAGCAGACAAAACAGTTCCCAAACCTCCAACATAAAAACTATTCATGTAAGTGACTCGTCCTATGTCCACGCCGTAAACAGATTGTGTCACTAGTACGTTTGTTGTTATTGTTGTTTTTTTTCCTCAAATATGTTCAAATGTTAGCATGGTATTATTTTTATGCATATCAATAAGGCTGCCATACATCATCACTTCTGTCTTGTTATTGTTATTTCGCAAACATATTGTAACCCTTTTGTCTTTAAAATGAACATGTCGATCGCAGCAGATTTTTTACATCATAATTCGCATTTGATTTAATGGGGTCGAGGAGACAGGCAATATTGTATGATGCTTAATAAAATAGGAATTATCACAAGCTGATAACGAGATAGGTATAGTAGAAAGAGCACCGAAACACGAGGCTATCTGATTTGAACGAGGGGGCGTAGCCCCCCGAGTATAAATCAGATTGCCGAGTGTTTTGGTGTTCTTTCTCTTTTGTATCCACAGGTGCTCGTCCAGTCTTGGTGCCCATATAAAAAAATGAAGTTTTAAAAAAAAAATTGAAAAAAAAATGAAAAAAAAAAAAAAAACATCAAAATTACTATTTTGGGTTGAGTGTAAGAAAAAAAAATTGAAAAAAATTTTTTTTTCCTATATACCATTACTACTCATAGTAATTTTTTTTCAATTTTTTTTTCTTACACTCAACCCAAATACGGAAGAGCATTAGTGCCAGGTGTATGTTTTTTATTAACTCGAAATTTCGAGTTACTAACTCGAAATTTCGAGTTACTTATCTCGAAATTTCGAGTTACTAACTCGAAATTTCGACTTACTAACACGAAATTTCGAGTTACTTATCTCGAAATTTCGAGTTACTAAGTCGAAATTTCGACTTACTAACTCGAAATTTCGACTTACTAACTCGAAATTTCGACTTACTAACCCGAAATTTCGACTTAGTAACTCGAAATTTCGACTTACTAACTCGAAATTTCGAGTTACTTATCTCGAAATTTCGAGTTACTAACTCGAAATTTCGACTTATTAACATTACAAGAATGGCCAAAGTTATTTTAGATGGTATAAGATATAGTAGGCAGTGCCTTTGAACGATGGAGATGGAGAAACGGGTGCCTGGACAAAAACTATTGAAATTTAACTTCAACTTAGTAATGGCATGTACACACCCGACATAAAAAATACAAGGCTTCCTTTAATTTGTACGTTCAGGCGTTCTTCAGACGTTGTATTGTATCCCATCTGTTTGAACATATCTTTTCACTAATCTGTAAAAAAACCGATCCTATACTTCACGTGTGGGACATCTGAGGAAAGTATCGCGGTGTGGCCAAAATAGGGCGTGCTGAGGCCTTTGTCAAAATTGTTGGACTGACTATATTTCTTGTAAAATCGGATGCTTTTATATTATTCCCAACATATATATAACAACAAGTATCACTTTCAACACAATATCAAAGTATTAGTAAATAATGAATAATGTTACAAAAACATTATTAGTATAAAGAAACGTGACAGACTAAATGGCGTATACACGCCAATTAAAACTTATTTAACACATGATATTGCACAGTTTACAATAGGGTGGGTTTTGGACTTGTTGTTTCTACACATGATGGTTGTATGTGTGCTTAAGAAAAAGAAAAACCCGGTTAACACAGAAATGTGGAAAGTGTGATTTTACAACCCCCCCCCCCCCCCCCACAAAAAAGCGAAGGATATGTTCAGTATGTGTGGACAATTTGACCCTATAAAATTGTTCTGTTAAATAAATGTTAAAGTTGCTCTGTCAATGTGCAACAGCTACACACGAAAGAAAGTATCTTGAATTCAATCCTTGCTTTCACCGGCAACCAATGAAAGTCGTGCAATATAAGTCGAAATTTCGAGTTAGTAAGTCGAAATTTCGAGTTACTAACTCGAAATTTCGAGATATGTAAGTCGAAATTTCGAGTTAGTAACTCGAAATTTCGAGATAAATAACTCGAATTTTCGAGTTAGTAAGTCGAAATTTCGAGTTAGTAACTCGAAATTTCGAGATAAGTAACTCGAAATTTCGAGTTAGTAAGTCGAAATTTCGAGTTAGTAAGTCGAAATTTCGAGATAAGTAACTCGAAATTTCGAGTTAGTAAGTCGAAATTTCGAGTTAGTAACACCTGTCACTAATGCTCTTCCGTAATTAACGTCTGCCTTTTTGCGAGATTTTTTTTTCTTAAAAAGGAAACCCATTGTTGTAATTCTTTTATCTTCTGTCATTATGGTTAGATAAAAGTTAACACTCTTGACATTAACAAAATTAAGGGAATTCCCCCGTTTCTATAAATAGCCTATCTGGTATTTTTTTATTTACGTAGTGCATATCATATAATTGCACAAGTAGGTAACTTAATACTTATCTTCATAAATCGCGCAGATTGCCGAGGAGTAACAAGAAAATAAATAAGTTAAAGATTTAAACATTTCTGTGTGAAATTTTGCGTATAATTATACAAAAAAAAATCATGGTTCTCAAAACCGTGATTCTTGTGGCAAATTGTTTGGCTTTCGGGTTGGGGCTTCTTGCGCTTTTATTACCGAACTGGTCATCTGGGAATTTCGAGGAGGTGAGAAACGTAACAGTGGTGAAAGAGATAGACAGTGGACTGTTTAATGAGAAAAACGAGTACTATATGAAAGAGGACTCCATTTTAGATTCATCTGAAGAAATTCCCGGTTCCTTCATGAGTAAGTTTTTTTTTGTTTTTTTTTTTTTGTTTTTGTTTTTTTTGTTATCGGTTCATCTTCTGTTAATTTTTGTAACTTCATGTAGAAAGTAAAAAAGAAATTCGTTTCTATCTTTCAAGTTGTTAGGTGGCAGTACTTAACAATTAAATGAATTCCTCTTTTAGCATTGAAGAGGACATGCAGTCTGAATTTTCGCCTATGTTTTGTAATATTGTTGTGGTTTTCTTTTCTATAAAAAAAACTGGATTCAATGATAATGCAAAAAGCACTGATTATATTTTTATGAATGGAGATTATGCACGTATTTTTCTTTTCTTCCTATGTTAAAAAAATTGGTTGCTATGGCAACACACGCTTAAATATGGCAAATAGATTACTCAAAAAGTACTGAAAACATTTTTATAAAACTTGAAATACGGATAGATTGCAGTATGGAGATTATACACATCACTTTAATATACCACATATAACTTAGTTTGACTACTTACAGAATTAACCCCTTTAACTAAGATTTTTTCTATAAATTATTAATATTTTAATCAAACTTCATTTCTCATAGCTTTTACTTCAAACTCTCACATCACAATATTTAAAAAGGTTCTAAATCTAGCGTCCATATTTTAAGAATTATCTCCTCCGTAACTTTTGATATTTTCCTATTCATTCTTTAATTTTCTTATTTCTTCATGGATTTACTACAAATAAAAAATATACATTCATTATCAACATCTACATCATAATTATGTGATAAGGGTGTCCATTATTATTTTCATTTTGAACTTGGAATTTATTTGTTTTTTGTTTTTTTTTTAAATTTCCTTCTTTGTTACCATAAATGGTATATTTGAAAATTGTTATTTTCATACCTTTCTTTGTGACTATATATGGTATCTTCCTTAAACTTAAGGTATTTTATTTGTTACACTCACATCGTGTCTAGCATATTTATTTCCTCTTTAGTTTAAGTAATTTGAATAATCTGATATCAAACACGGATGACTCGGAGTGTCTTTCAGTCCGTTTGTCTGTCCGTTCCTAAAAACTGTTTCCTGAGTTCACTTTCAAGATCTTGGAACTTTTCCAACAAATTTACGTAAAATTAAGAAAAGTTGAAACATATTTATACATATTCATCCTGAGAAAAATGGATCTTTTCATTATCTGTAACTGCTGTATAGACATGTTTTTCTTACTATGCAGGGACACTTTACACATTACCATGATTATGCAGGGACACTTTACACATTACTATGATACAAAGAAACGATTTAAGTTCATTCATGTCATGTCATTCATTTAATGACATAATTGAATATAGAATGTTGCTGGAGCTCTTACCGGTACTAGGGGACTGTATATTGCTTGCAATAATATGATAATAGCTTGTTTGTTTTCTTGTTGTTTTTTTTTCAGAACCGGAAGTTGTTAAAATCATAAGAGCATTGATGATAACCGGGCTTTCACTGTTGTCAATCGATCTGATACGTTCTGTTTATCAATGGTGTTGCCATGATGATGATGATGAAACAGGCGGAAAGACCGACGCAGTGATATCTTTACTTCTGTCACTTGTGACAATTTTAGCAGGTAAATTATTGTCATTTTGTTAATTATGATTGAATAAGAAAGTTTTTTTTCATTGTATTGATTTTCAAAGTAGAACAATTATTTTAATTAAGTAAAAGTTAGGAATTTTACGTGACTCATTTGTGATTTGATCAGTGTCAACAAAAATTATATCTCCGCCCTTTTAAGTATTTAAGAAAAGAGTTGTCCGAATTTATGATGTTTTGCCAAGATCGTAACACTGTACGTATATAGTGCAAAATATAGATTTGAGTTATTTTTGTAATCTTTAATGTTAAACAGTGTGTACTGAACTCTTTTGCTATAGTATGTGCGAATATTATTCTATAGGAATGAATAGTTCGGACTTGTGAAACATAAGTAGAATTAATGATTTATTTGTCATAGTGCAACCTCTTCAGAGCGACCCTGTTGTTCTGCAAATGTTGTACTCTATATAAAATGTATATACTCTTCATATTTAAATTTTATTTGAATGCAGGTGGTTTTATTCTGAGCGGCCCTCTGATTTATAAAAACCACGTGGTAGCAGAGTTCGAGTCTGAGAAAACAAGTTTCGGTGCAAGTTGGTACATGGCTTTAATTTCGGCCGGACTGACATTAATTCTTGGAATTGGGAGATTTGTTCACTCCTGTTGGACATGCGGAGTGATATATGAAAAGAAAAGACAATCAGTGTCTCGTGGTAAATCACGTGAAAAACGAAAACAAGTGTATACCGTATGATAACAGTTACAGTTTCAACATTAATGTGATTATGCAACTGAAAAAAGAAACTAGAGAAAAATCATGCAATTAGACCAGGCTGCGTATTTTTAAATTTGTATCTTAACATCCCCGAAATTAATAATTGACGATTCCAAAAATGGAAGGGAACAAGTCTATGTAACATTTCAGCAGACGGGATATATACAGCTTGTGTCTGTTTGCATTGACTTCTCTGTTATAAAAATGAAAAGATGAAGATCTACATAGCCTTAAAAGTTGCCAAGGAGAGATAACTTATTAAAATATTTTTGTAGACAAAGGTATTAATGCCCAAGAATATTAAGTATAAATGCCATGCTAACAGAGATAATTATTTATTTTTATATGTATATTTCTGTTTTTAACTTTTTATTGTTCTTATAGCAATGTGTTTACATGTATTATATGTTGTATTATATGTTCTAAATGTGTTTTAATGCTCTACTAAATAAAATGATGAATCAATACTGTCTGTTTCATCCTATATATTAGATGTCATTAATGGACTTATATGTCACGATCTTAATTAAATGTCGACACTCATGATCGTGACTTCTATAAAACGTCGGAGACCAGGCGTCCCGACTTGCGGAACATGTCGGAAAGAGATCATAACCTTTGCACAATGAGCGCCAATATTGAAAATAACACGTTTCCGGTGAGCGTAATAAGCCACAACACGTACTTTTTCTATAACTAAATGTTTAGTTTGGCCTTATGAAAATTAATGGAACGTGGGTTAAGTAAGACTTGAAAATTTATGTTTTTCGTTAAATTACTCATAACATCGAAACTTGTTTCCACATTCTAAGTAAGTAATTTTAATAAGGTCAGTCGTTACTCGTTAGTTAGCACGATCTTCTTTAACCCTTTCCCTCATGAGCATATTGTGAAAAATGGCCGTTTTCATTGAAAAGCCTCCTGTTACAAGTTCAAACTGCTATGAAACTATGAAAAATGCTTCAATACTAATCAAACTGAGCACAAATGTTGACTGGACCATTGCCTTTACGACATGCTCAGTCTTAAATTTCCTGTTACCATGGCAACGAGGGGACATCTCAAAATTGCCAAAAATCACTATTTTGCCTTGATTTTTTCCATCAAAATTTATTTCAAAGTGATGCAACTTCTCAACGGATTGAGATAGAGTCAAAGACTTTTCAGCGTTGGTTACACGTTACCTTATAATCGACCTGGGGTCATTTTTAGCCTCTCAAAAGTCCAAAATTTTCTTGGCGATGAGGGGGACTCCGCTCCCCCTTCAAACCCCCCAAACAGAAGGGGGCACATCTAAAAGAGGGGGGAAGGTCGAAAATGAGTTGTTTTGCGTATATATGAGGTAAAGGGTTAAAAGGAAGATTTTGAAAGTGTTAACTTGATTACAAGGGAAAACATGAGAGGAATATGTTGTAAAAATCAAATAGATCCTGACAGGTCATTTTTACTGACTCCCTTAAATAATGCAAGTACGTATAAACTAGCAGTGTCACTGTTGTCGACACATTGAATTTTTGTCGGCGCATTGAACTGTTGTCTAAGTATTGAACTGTTGTCTACGCATTGAACTGTTGTCGACACTTTGAACTTTTGTCGATGCATTGAACTGTCTTGTACGCATTGAACTGTTGTCGACGCATAGATCTGTTGCCAACGCATTGAAATGTTGTCTACGCATTGAACTGTTGTCTACGCACTGAACTTTTGTCAACGCATTGAGCTATTGTCTACGCATTGAAATGTTGTCCACGCACTGAACTGTTGTCCGCGCACTGAACTGTTGTCCACGCATTGAACTGTTGTATGGTTCTCCGATTGTACGGTATGGTTCATTGTCGAAGCCAAGCTGTACCAAATTGCCTAACCTCTCGTCACTGACCACTTTGGTATATCAGTTTTATATTAAGAGTGTAATATCAAGCTAAACACAACAGACTGTGTTTACTGCTACAAATTGCAATTTTCTTAACGTTCCAAACAACATTTTTGTATAACATTTCGAGAATTATAGATTGATGGGGCGACCAGCTACATTTTTCATAATATTCAACTAACTAAAATGTGAATGAAGATATACTGACATGGTCGCCGCATTCGTGCAAAAAACATAGTTTAGTTAATAAAATTTAGGGAATTCCCCCGTTTCTATAAATAGCCTATCTGGTATTTTTTTATTTACGTAGTGCATATCATATAATTGCACAAGTAGGTAACTTAATACTTATCTTCATAAATCGCGCAGATTGCCGAGGAGTAACAAGAAAATAAATAAGTTAAAGATTTAAACATTTCTGTATAATTATACAAAAAATCATGTCTCTCAAAACTTGTCTCTCTTGTGGCAAATTGTTTGGCTTTCGGGTTGGGGCTTCTTGCGCTTTTATTACCGAACTGGTCATCTGGGAATTTCGAGGAGGTGAGAAACGTAACAGTGGTCAAAGAGATAGACAGTGGACTGTTTAATGAGAAAAACGAGTACTATATGAAAGAGGACTCCATTTTAGATTCATCTGAAGAAATTCCCGGTTCTTTCATGAGTAAGTTTTTTTGTTTTTTGTTTTTTGTTATCGGTTATCTTCTGTTAATTTTGTAACTTCATGTAGAAAGTAAAAAAGAAATTCGTTTCTTTCTTTCAAGTTGTTAGGTGGCAGTTTTTTAAACAATTAAATGATTCCTCTTTTAGCATTGAAGAGGACATGCAGTCTAATTTTCGCCTATGTTTTGTAATATTGTTGTGGTTTTCTTTTTCTATAAAAAAAAACTGGATTCAATGATAATGCAAAAAGCAATGATTATATTTTTATGAAACTTAAAATATAGGTAGATGGCAGTCTGGAGATTATGCACGTATTTTTTCTTTTCTTCCTATGTTAAAAAATTGGTTGCTATGGCAACACACGCTTAAATATGGCAAATAGATTACTCAAAAAGTACTGAAAACATTTTATATAAAACTTGAAATATGGATAGATTTGCAGTATGGAGATTATACACATCACTTTAATATACCACATATAACTTAGTTTGACTACTTACAGAATTATGCTCCCCCCCCCCCTTTAACTAAGATTTTTTCTATAAATTATTAATATTTTAATCAAACTTCCTCATTTCTCATAGCTTTTACTTCAAACTCTCACATCACAATATTTAAAAGGTTATAAATCTAGCGTCCATATTTCAAGAATTATCTCCTCCGTAACTTTTGATATTTTCCTATTCATTCAAATAAAAAATATACATTCATTATCAACATCTACATCATATGTGATAAGGGTTTTCATTATTATTTTCATTTTGAACTTGGAATGTATTTGTTTGTTTTTTTTTTTTAATTTCCTTCTTTAATTGTTACTATAAATGGTATATTTGAAAATTGTTATTTTCATACCTTTCTTTGTGACTATATATGGTATCTTCCTTAAACTTAAGGTATTTTATTTGTTACACTCACATCGTGTCTAGCATATTTATTTCCTCTTTAGTTTAAGAAATTTGAATAATCTGATATCAAACACGGATGACTCGGAGTGTCTTTCAGTCCGTTTGTCTGTCCGTTCCTAAAAACTGTTTCCTGAGTTCACTTTCAAGATCTTGGAACTTTTCCAACAAATTTACGTAAAATTAAGAAAAGTTGAAACATATTTATACATATTCATCCTGAGAAAAATGGATTTTTTCATTATCTGTAACTGCTGTATAGACATGTTTTTCTTACTATGCAGGTACACTTTACACATTACCATGATTATGCAGGGACACTTTACAGATTACTATGATACAAAGAAACGATTTAAGTTCATTCATGTCATGTCATTCATTTAATGACATAATTGAATATAGAATGTTGCTGGAGCTCTTACCGGTACTAGGGGACTGTATATTGCTTGCAACAATATGCTAATAGCTTGTTGTTTTTTGTTGTTGTTGTTGTTTTTTTCAGAACTGGAAATTGTTAAAATCATAAGAGCATTGATGATAACCGGGCTTTCATTGTTGTCAATCGATCTGATACGTTCTGTTTATCAATGGTGTTGCCATGATGATGATGATGAAACAGGCGGAAAGACCGACGCAGTGATATCTTTACTTCTGTCACTTGTGACAGTTTTAGCAGGTAAACTATTGTCATTTTGTTAATTATGCTTGAATAAGAAAGTCTTTTTTCATTGTATTGATCTTCAAAGTAGAACAATTATTTTAATTAAGTGAAAGTTAGGAATTTTACGTGACTTATTTGTGATTTGATTAGTGTCAACAAAAACTATATCTCCGCCCTTTTAAGTATTTAAGAAAGTAATTGTCCGAATTTATGACTTTTTACCAAGATCGTATCAGTGTATATACGTATATAGTGCATATATAGATTTAAGTTATTTTTGTAATATTTAATGTTAAACAATGTGTACTGAACTCTTGCTATAGTATGTGCGAATATTATTCTGTAGGAATGAAAAGTTCGGACTTGTGAAACATAAGTAGAATTAATAATTTATTTGTCACAGTGCAACCTCTCCAGAGCGACCCTGTGTAAACAATAACCTCTTTACAACAACAGTACTATATCTTCTTTAAGAAAGATTTCACTGTATACTCTATATAAAAACTCTATATAAAATGTATATACTCTTTATAATTAAATTTTATTTGAATGCAGGTGGTTTTATTCTGAGCGGCCCTCTGATTTATAGAAACCACGTGGTAGCAGATTTCGAGTTGAGAAAAAAAATTTGGGGCAATTGGTACATGGGTTTCATTTCGGCCCACTAATTTTTTCTTGGAAATTT